CAGGTTGTATAACACATTGAAGAGAAACAGTCTCCAACAACACTGAAGTTGAACAGAGTCTACTACAGTAGACCTATTTCATTTCATTGTGTACTTTTCCTTTGAGTTCATAATTCATAGACCAAAATTTAGGGTGTTATAAACTTTTCCTTCAGAAAATCAAAGCAGTGTCCTTCATAAATAAAAAAGGTTTCAGTGGTCTCAAGTTTTCCAGAAGATAATCAATAAAGTGATCCCATGGAATGATTTTAATGCATTATGTTATAGCCAGTAACTGTAGACCCAGCAATGCTGACAAGTTTGTACTGAGGATAACTGGTTGTTCTACAGGTAAAAGCATGATTTCAGACCTTTGGGCTCAATTTGTTGCTCTCTATCTGAATTTTAAACAAAAATGGGAAAAAAAATTGCTCAGCAATACCAACATAGTTTCTTCAGCCAATTTTTAAAAATAAAACCCCAAATGCAACCCAACCGACCCACTCCAAACCCCAAGATAAATTTTGTTACCAATACCTATTCTATGACATTTTTATCATTTAACATTAACTAAAAGACATACCTTTCAAATATGTTTCTTTCAGGACTGAGTCAATAAAACTAAGTGAGACTATAGGTAAATACTAGTCCTGAAGGCCAAACATGTTTGCTGGAAGAATATGCTTTTAAAAAGGCTTCATGAAGGTTGTTTATCTTATTAGTGGCATGCCATAGCATAGAAAATTCCAGGGGGAAAGTTCTTTTGTTTTCACTCAGGATACACTTACCAGGGAAGTTTAATCTCTGAACAATGTACAAGTGGTCAACTGCAAGCAGAATTAATCTCTTTTTTATTTATGTAAGAGAAAACCTTTTATTTGTTTCAGGGCAGGGTGTTCTTATACTGTTTCTATACTAAACTCCTAATTATTCTAACAAAGATAAATAGAGCACATTTAAAGTGAAACAGTCTCCTTTGCTGTAGGGTAATGGATGCTTTCCACTGGTCTCATGTTTATTGGGTATATGTTAATTCTTTATATCAAAGACATATTTTAGGCTTCATTCAGAAGGAGTGTTGGCAACATGAGAAACATTAGCACAGGCTTTTTTGACATCTAAGTAACTGTTTAAGGCTACTAAACAAAACCCCCATAGTTTCATGTGAATTATATAGGGTTATATGAGATACAGCTACATGGTGTATCCAGACATTATTTCATACTAACTTCACCCACCTAACTAACTAGTTCTCTTTTTCAAAGGGAAATGCAAAGAAAGATTTTTGAACTTCAAACTTTGAAATATTTTAATAGTACTTTCAGCATTTTATTACTCTTCAAAAGCCAGGGCTCATTTTAACAAAACACACCAGATTTCTGCCTCTTTAAACCATCCTTTTTCAATTCAGAGGATAATGGGAGTATATCTTCCTATGGCAGAGATCCTATTCTGTCTTCAGTGTCCTAGTACAATATTTCTGGCCTACTGATGGATCCAAGAGCTCCTACTCGGTTCTTTATCCTGTCATAGCATTTGTGGAGACACAGTTAGGCTACCTTGACATCAATACTACACCCAGCAGCTGGCAGGGAGATTTCAAAGAATTTGAATTGCTCTTTTGAAAGTGCATCCAAACTTCACAGCAAGACTGTCTTGGCAGGATCTTTAAAGCACCGCAGTTTTTAGAAGTGAAAATTTTTTTTTTTCTTCTTTTCTTTCTCCTTATGCAGTTTGCTTGTGAAGCAGAGCATACAGTTCATTAGCTGCTTCCTACTATTAGCAGCAAACACTTTTATACAGAAAGCATACTGAATCACTACTCGGCCTTTTGGCTAAGATCAAGTGTAGTATCTGTTCTTATCAGTTTAGTATATGATGTGTCCTTTGTTGGTGCAAGTCCAGAGGGCCATGAGGATGATCAGGGTACTGGGGTCTCCCATATGAAGACAGGCTGAGAAAATTGGGGCTGTTCAGCCTGGAGAAGGCTGCATGGAGACCTCATAGCAGCCTGCCAGTATCTGAAGGGGGCCTATAGGGATGCTAGGGATGGACTATTCATTAGGGACTGTAGTGATAGGACAAGGGGTAATGGGTTAAAACTTAAACAGGGGAAGTTTAGATTGGATATAAGGAGGAAGTTCTTTACTGTTAGGGTGGTGAGGAACTGGAATGGGTTGCCCAAGGAGGTTGTGAATGCTCCATCCCTGGCAGTGTTCCAAGGCCAGGTTGGACAGAGCCTTGGGTGATATGGTTTAGTGTGAAGAGTCCCTGCCCATGGCAGGGGGGTTGGAACTTGATGATCTTAAGGTCCTTTCCAACCCAAACCATTCTATGATTCTATGAATATATCTTTTTGTATTGTCCTTTATTGTCTCTGAATTACACAGCTTACATAGTGGAATGTCTTTCAAAGACAAAACTTCAGCAGTATGGAAATAAGAATGGACTGGCTGTTGCTTATTGCCTACAATTTTGCAAATTATCTTGAAGTTGCTTGTCATGTCTGGAAGCAAGCTGAGTGAAAGAAGAGCCAAGATCTTAGGAGATGTCATGGCATAAATGATTTATATTTGCTATTTCTCTACTTTTTTTTTCTTTTTATCCATCTGAAACAGACATAGCTTTGTAAAGTGCTTTCATATACTCTGCCCTAGTCTACTGAATATCGATTTTTAGATATGTAAATCAGAAAAAAAATATTACAAGGAAACCCAGGGGAAAAAAAGATCACAGCCCTCTAAAATGCTAGAAGAGGGCATCCAGAGCCCTTTTTGCTGGACAAAGATTTTGCAAGACCAAAGTCAATTAAGTCAAGAGAAAGCTGGAACAAATACGTAAAATGTCCAAAAGCAAAACTATTCCCAATGGGAATATACTTTTAAGGAGCATTGAACATTCTCTAAATAGTGAAGTCGTAGTTTAATTGTAAGTTACTTATTTTAGGAGATTCTCAAACTTTGTGTCTTAAAACTAGAAGCCAGAGTAAATTATTTTCTCTATGGATTACTTCAATTAAGGAATCTAAGTCAAACCTAAATCTTTGAAGATTTTATGGTTCTAAACTAAAACTCAAGGTGTTCCCGTCCCTGGATACGAGAAACATAACACCTGGAAAATCTTGCTCAGTTCTCACAGTCTCCTGGCATCTCTGTTTTGTCATTTGTACTTTTTCTTCACCTCCGGTCAGTAAAAGAAGCTTCTAATCACACAGCATTTTTATCTCACCACCTCTAGTAGTAAGCTTTTTTTCTGCCAGGTTTGATTCCCATATAAATGGACTTTTTAATCATAACAGGATAAACCTATCATTGATGTAATTGCTTTTTATCTACTATTACAGCTGTGAGTGGGTGGTGACAGCTACAGCCTGTATTTTTCTTGCAGTCATTTCAGCATAACTTTAGGGGATATTTGAGAAGATACATTAAGAGGACTTCTGAACTTCCTTCATAGTAGAAAAAATTTATGTGTGCCTTGGCCTACTGCCCAAAGTCTCAGCTGGAGAAGAAAAGACTGTATATACTGCATGCTCATTACCTTCAGAGGGAGTATACATCCTGATGTCTAACTTCCATGCCAAGCAGTAAAGGCAGAAAAACTTTCAAGAGAGTCACAGTTTTATATCAGGGAGTTAGTTCTGCTCCCTAGATTCACATAATTTAAAGCAATAAACCCTATTTTTAATTCAGAGTTGATGTTCTATTTAATGGTGCACAGAGAAATAATTTTTTCCATATTTTTTCCTTGAAGCTTTTTTTTTTTTTTTTTTCCAAACTATGTGCAGCAGTCATAAGCTGGGGAAGGAATTAAAAATCCTAAAAACGTTACATCAGCACAGCATTGTCATTTGAGGGTTTGCCTCTGTTTTCCTTCAAGCTATCTGCAGTACCCTGGTTGACCTCAGAAGTCGAACTGAGAAGCCTCATGCCTGGTAGCCCTACATTTCTCCACTCTCACTGTATTTGAATAAATCATGATGTCTGAAGCAAAATATACGTAACTTGGTTTTTAATTTTGAATGACACGCATATCTATTCTGTTGAGAACTAATGGAACTAACCAGAAAGCACAAACTGCCACTTTCAATTTCTTTTCATCTTTCTCCACGTTTGATACTGATCAAGGCTGGACAAGACAGATCCCTGGCAACACAGCTTGTAAGAGCAGAACCTTATTGAACTACTACTTTCTCTCAAAATTAACCAAACCAAAATATGTCGACACCTGCATATACTAGATTTATTCCTTCAGAATGTGCAAAATAAAGAGGAAGCCTGTATTATACTTCGCAAACATTAGTTTCTTTGGTGAGAAATTTCACACTTTACTGGAAGCAGAAATACGAACATGGCAAGACTTTTAGATTATGTGTTAAGTATGAACATCTCTTTCACAATCTGAAAGCTAGAACTACATGTTCATTAACCTGTTAGCGTCCAGTTCAATGCTATTTCTTTTATTCTTTTTTATTTACTGTAGAAGGATAAAAACTTGTTTCTTTTCAATTCTCAAGCGATTAAAAGAAAAACCTGCCTCCTAATATTCTGCACGAAAGCATGGGCCAGAGAAGCTAAGGACTTTCGACACAGCAGTTTGTTCCTGTATTTCTGCTTCCAATATCAATGACTAGATGCAGCTCTCAACTGTACCAGTAGGCATGAAAAGGTTAAAGCAAATTTTTATTTGTAAATCAGGAAACAAAAAGACTGCACCAGCTACGAAGAAGGAGAAAAAATGACTGCTACTGCTAAACCCAGGACACAGGGCAACACTTTCTCTTAGCAATAATATTTGGCAAAATCAAAGTAAACTTGTTAAGGAGGAGGGTGCGCATACAAAAGCAGAACAGGGCATGCCTTCCAGCATGTTGTCTCCTGTAAAATGTTTCACAGGAGCCCTCTATATCTCACAAAACTTCAAGGTAAAAATTCTAATAAAGACTCTATATTACATTTTTTAAATAACTTTGCTGACAAACTTTAGCATCCAATTTGGATATTTTTAATGTGGGATGCCTCTTCTTCTCTTTTTTTTTTTTTTTTTAACAGATATAGACTGCACCTACAACACAGGAGGTTCAATGAAAATGAAAGGTGTGAAACACAAAACTGAAATACACTCTTACGCAGAGTTTCCAGTATTGGAATGCAACACTGCAAGACACCAATGAAGCCCAAAATTTAAAACAGTAACTCAACAAAGGTAAGAATATTCAAGAAGAAAGAAACTTCACATAGAAAAGTTTAGGATACTTTGTATTCCAACCAAAGACAGCTTAACAGAATCAAGTATCATTGATAACAAAAGGAAAATATATTCTGAAGAGGTATTTTCAAGGTTCAGATTTAAGGCTCAGAAAGAACAGTGTCACTGGAAAGGCCAACCCTGGTAGTCAAGAAAATTTACCACAACATATATTTATTAGAAGATATTTTATTACCAACAAATACAAAATTGTTGATCTTATCCCCTGATGTCTCATTTTAAAGATAAAGCTTTACCTTCACCACTTACAAAGACCTGTAAATATAGCATTGTAAAAAAATTAAAACAAAAATGAAAAATTGCAACAATAAATTAAGAAAAACAGAAGTAGGAGGAAAGCCCAACCCACCAAGGAGAAAATGTATTAGAAGCAATAGACAAGTTATGAAGTGGAATTGAAGTATCATATTATGTTTTACTTCCAAGAGAAGTTTGGGAGGCTTGCACACAAAATAAAATAGCAGCAAAGAAAAAGCTTAAGTACAAGTGCATTTGTGTCCCTCTGGAATGTATTCTCATTAACCAAAACAGTAGTACTCATCAGAATCAATTTTGGGATGCTTATGCAGAGGCTGTGAGTCCTCCATAATAGAAGAATCACTGAACTTGTCCATGTCTGAAGGAGTGTTGTGACCTGGGACATCATCCACTAAGGTGTCCAAATAACTCCCCACAGATATTCCATCCAGCCCATCACTACAGTCTTGTAAACTGTTACAGCTGCCATGGAGGGATGTCTCCTGACTTTCCAGCAAGCTGCACAGGCTGCCACTCAAACTGCTACCTCTGCTGGCAATGGTCTTCTCTTCAATAATCCACTTGATTGATTCAATACTTTCATTGATGATGAGTAGCTGGCGCATAAGCTTCACATCAGTGGCTCGGAGATTAACCTACAAGGCAAAAGTGATTTTAACAATTACTCATTTTCTTCAAAATCAAACTCTAAACAGTAAGCTGGGGGCAATGAATGTGTTAAAGAAACACAAAAAATCCACCTTTCACATCTAGGATGAATACATTTAAATAATTAGGAAAAGAAAAAAATAAAAAGTAAAACTACTGCTATACTAATGCTATACTTCCAATGAAGCTGAAGTGGGAATCTGATCAGACTACACAAGCAGTCCATTAACATGAACACTAGTCAATGACAAGACTTGTACACACACCAGTACAATGTCATTTATATAAGAAACACAGCTGCTATGTCAACTCTTGGGAATAGCTTTTTACTATTCAGAGAAGTAAGACAAACCCCATTTCCATTTACAACTACACTAGGCTACTCAGCAGATCCAGGCAGCTGAGCATTCACCCTAAACTACCCTTATGTCTATTTGGGCAATCAAAAATTTTCAGATGTGCATAATTTGGAAAAAGGTTTGTGGCCTTGCAACTTTTATTCATACTACCCCTCAGTTTAGTTTGCAAACTGCTGTATAAATGTCTAAGAGTTGAAATACTGAACTTATTGAAAACTGTAAATTTGAAATTATTTAAACCCATTAGCTGAAGATGATGAGTTCACCATCAACCACTTATTATGGATTAACAAAAAAAAAGCAACAATTTGCAAAAAAAACCCCAAACCTAAATAAAAAATACACATTAAGAACAAAGTCTTACTTTCCAACTTAGTTGTAGTGCTGATGCACGCACACAGAAGTGTTAATTATAAAGCACAATGCAATATTACAATGCTGCATTTCACAGACATTGTGAAGGTAACTGACTGCATGTTTTCCTTAACTGACACTTCATAAGCTACTTTTTTACTCAAATTTCCAGAGTGAGATGACACATAAAGGTGATCTCCAAGGGGTTTATTTCATGTTTTTTTCCTTTTCATCTAAAACATCACAAGCTGTGATGTTATCACAGCCTATCACAAGTCAATAAAAATCTGTGTGACCTCCTATTCATCACACAAGTAAAAATACTAAAAATTCAGTCTGAAAAATTGAGGAAGTTTCTGGGTTTGACCAAGTTTGGAGAGCCAGAAGCTACTTCCACCCACACTGTGAGAAGATGCTGGTTTGTGACCTTTCCAATAGCACCTCAGGACCACTGAATATTTGACATCACAACACACTTCCAGTCTCATCACTTGCACAGCAAGACCTTTACCTAGATGAACTTTTGCCACAGTGTCAGCATAGGGCATACGTGCTTAAAACCACTGGAAAAAAGATGCCAGTCGTTTCAGATTAACTCACAGGGGTACCATGTCTAGCATGTAATTTGTGTCATATTTTCTTACATTTTTTAATTGCACTAATCAAGCATACTCGATGCAAATATGTCACTCTTTATACTTAAGCATTTAGAAAATACTTTCTTTTATATGTAATTCGAGTATATTTTACAAAAATGTGTGTCATTATATGTAATATATGCACATACACTGCATGCTTTTCTTCCATAAGGCACTAACATCTTACCTTCTAGATTACTAATTAAAAAAAGACAATACAGTACATCAAATATTTGAATATCTTCAATCAAGAAATAAGAAAACAACTAAGATCTGTGATTCCAGACAATAGACATTTTATGCTATTCTCCAAGTCCACAACTGTCACACAGAAATATAGCACCTGTATTGTTCATACACAATGGACTGTGATGGAATCACTATTCTCAGGAAGCAAAGACTGTATTTTGTTTTGCAAAGAGTACAATCTGGACATGGTACTTTCCATACACAAACACCATTTTCTCAATATCCTAAATTACACTGACACAGCATAGTTGTTCAAAAAGCTATTTTTATGCATTTTTATTCTGTTAGCTATTGCAGAATATTGTACCGGTTCTAGCTGGGATGATTCATAGCAGCCAGTATAGTGCTATGTTCTGTATGTGTGATTAAAACAGCATTGATAGCATACCACTGTTTCACCTGATGCCGAACAGTGACGGCACAGCATCAAGGACTTTGCTGTTTTTCACTCTGTACCCTCATCAAGTAGGCTGGGGCTGGGAAAGATGTTTGGCAAAGTCAAAGATGTGTCAGTAGACCAGAACTGACCAAAGGGATATTCCCTGCCATATAATGTCGTGCTTAGCAATAAAATCTGTGGGCTTGGTCTTTCCAATGCAAACATTGCTTGGGGGCTGGCTGGACATTAGTCTGTTGGGAGATCGTGACTGACTTTGGACCACTTGTTTGGTTTTGCTTGTTTCGGGTTTTTGGTTTGGTTTTTATTTCCTTCACTTTTTAAACTGCCTTTATTACAACCCATGAGTTTTTCCTCACTTTTCTTCTTCCCATTCTTTCCCCTATCCCACTGGAGAGAAGAGGGAAATGAGTGAATAGACAGTGGGTGCTTAGTTTCCAGCCAGGGTTAACGCAACACTAACACAGTGTCATAGAATTATAGAAGAGTTATGGTTCCCGTATTTCAAACTTTTCTACCTACAGACTGACATATGCATTACCAGTCTCCTTCCCCAGTCCCCAGAACGAGTTCTGAATTATCCTTTATTTAGTATCACAGGATTTAACATAGCCAACTAGGTACTGTGCAGAACAGCTTTACCATTCAGTTTTAACAATACTGTCCATCTGTCATTGTTTCAGATATGAGATTCTGAAAACAGATTGACCATTTTGTAGCCCTCTTGCTCAAGCTAGTTCCTCTACTCCTACCCATAAATCACTACAAACTGTTTGCTCAGCAACTAGACTGCCATGAAAGCAATAAATTACCCAACTACTCAAATGCAACTACAGATGTCAGCAACTTGCTTATGCAAGCTCAGAGACAGCAAACTGCCCAAAAGGCTGATTAAGGAAATATTTAACAGAGCTAGCACCAATACCCTTGTAATGAAACAGCCCCTTTTAGATCAAATAGAGATCTCATATATTTCAGATTCAGTTCACAGGAAGTATTTATTTTGTTCTTGTTCTTGTTCTTGTTTGCCTCTATACAAATGCCCGCAGCATGGGTAACAAACAAGAGGAATTAGAGATGCGTGCAAGTCTGCAGGGGTATGACATAATAGGCATCACAGAAACATGGTGGGATGGCTCCTATGACTGGAGTGTTGGAATGGAAGGTTACAGGCTCTTTAGAAAAGACAGGCATGGCAGGTGCGGAGGGGGAGTTGCCCTTTATATTACGGATAGGCTGGAGTGTATGGAACTCTGTCTGGGAACTGGTGAGCAGTTAACAGAGAGTTTGTGGGTCAGGGTTAAAGGGAAAACAGCGATGGGGGACATTACTGTGGGGATTTGTTTTGATTTCCTGGAAAAAGGGAAATATAACCCCCATTTTCAAGAAGAGGAAAATGGGTGACCTGGGGAATTACAGACCAGTCAGTCTCACCTCTGTGCCTGGCAGAATCTCGGAGCAGGTTCTCCTGGAAGGCATGCTAAGGCACATGAAAAACAACAAGGTGCTTGGTGACAGCCAGGATGGCTTCACTAAGGGGAAATCCTGCCTAACCAATTTGGTGGCCTTTTATGATGGGGCTACAGAACTGATGGACAGGGGTAGAGCAGTTGATGTCATCTACATGGACTTGTGTAAAGCATTCGACACTGTCCCACACAACATCCTTGTCTCTAAATTGGAGAGACATCAATTTGATGAATGGACCACTCAGTGGATAAAGAACCGGCTGGATGGCCGCACACAAAGAGCTGTGGTCAATGGCTCAATGTCCAGCTGAAGACCCGTAAAGAGTGGTGTCCCTCAGGGATCAGTGTTGGGACCAGTCTTGTTCAACATCTATGTCGCTGACATGAACAGTGAGATTGAGTGCGCCCTCAGCAAGTTTGCTGATGACACCAAGCTGTGTGGTTTGGTTCATACGCTGGAGGGAAGGAATGCCATCCAGAGGGACCTTGACACGCTTGTGAGGTGGGATGATGCCAACCTCATGAAGTTTAACCATGCCAAGTGCAAGGTCCTACACCTGGGTTGGAGCAATCCCGGACACAGCTACAGGTTGGGCAGAGAAGAGATTTAGAGTGGCCCTGAGAAGGACTTGGGGGTGGTGGTCGATGAGAAAATGAACATGAGCCAGGAGTGTGCACTTGCAGCCCAGAAAGCCAACCGTATCCTGGACTGCATCAAAAGGAGCGTGACCAGCCAGTTGAAGGTGATCCTGCCCCTTCATTCTGCTCTCGTGAGACCTCACTTGGAGTATTGTGTCCAGTTCTGGTGTCCTCAACATAAAAAGGACATGGAACTGTTAGAACAAGTCCAGAGGCAGGCCACGAGAATGACCAGGGGACTGGAGCACCTCCCATATGAAGATAGGCTGAGAAAGTTGGGACTGTTCAGCCTGGAGAAGAGAAGGCTGCGTGGAGACCTCATAGCAGCCTTCCAGTATCTGAAGGGGGCCTATAGGGATGCTGGGGATGGACTCTTCATTAGGGACTGTAGTGGTAGGACAAGGGGTAATGGGGTAAAACTTAAACAGGGAAAGTTTAGATTGGATATAAGGAGGAAATTCTTTCCTGTTAGGGTGGTGAGGCACTGGAATAGCTTGCCCAGGGAGGCTCTGAATGCTCCATCCTTGACAGTGTTCAAGGCCAGGCTGGACAAGGCCTTGGGTGATATGGTTTAGAGCAAGGTGTCCCTGCCCATGGCAGGGGGGTTGGAACTTGATGATCTTAAGGTCCTTTCCAACCCTAACTATTCTATGGTTCTATGATTCTAAACATACCCACAGCTTCAACATTTCTGTGGAACAGCCTTGCTGGGAGTAAATTTTGTATTCCTGTGTACTTGACTCCTTCTCCTCCAAGCTACCATGTTGTCCCAAGTCTGATATATTAAAATTTTCCTAAAGCAAACATTAAAAAGTAGTTCACCAGGTGTCATCTTTCTTTAATAGGAATTACTTTATCATTTGCTTGATAACACATAAACGT